AGCACTATTTTCAGTAATTTTCTAGAAGCATAGTTTTCCTTGTTTTAGGATCTTAGGTTTATTCCCAGCCAGAGATCAGCTTTTGCAGTGTAAGCTCTGGACTCAGAGCCTGTCATTTATAAGCTACATTTGCTTTAGGAGTGTAATCAGTTTCTGTACCTCCAAAAAAGTTGCCTTGTCTAACTCACAAGTATGTTTTGTAAAAGAGACTCAAGAAACTTATTTCAGGTGGAAATATTGTAACACAGTAATATTTTTAGCCAAACTTCCTTTCTGTTTTATATTTTAGGTGTATCAGAGCTTAATTTTTAGAAAGCACTCCCTTCAGTGAAAGCTGCATAAACCTTGAGGGTTTAGATCCTATACTTTATAGACCAGGGAATACCCAAATACAAGCTGATTGTAGTGTCAAGGGTTTGCCTTTTAATTCAGTGTTTTGTTTCTTAAATTCTCGAGTGTACTATTTTCTCTTTTTTTAAAGGTTTGTTGACCATGGTTTTGAAATCTTAACAGTAAGTGTCAGTATAGTATTTAAATAGACATATGAATTTTTTAAGCCTTCTGTTTTGGAGACCATTTCACTGACAAATGCCATACTTTGGAGTTGGAACTGGAAATTTGGCAGTGGAAATTTGGGAGCAGAAACATGCCTTTTGCAGTTCTTCCACTTTGCAGCCAGCTTTGAGCAGCTGATAGGTAGGTCTTTGAGACATCTCACTTTTGATAGGGTCAGTATGGATATCTGTCCCTGTTCTAAGCTCTTCTAAGGCAGGAGTGGTCGTGCTGAATGATGACTGAGCATAGGAGCAAGCATCTTCTTAGAAATCAGAAGAGCAAAGGTCTGAAATAACTTTTCCACTGTGAGGAATGTGACTAAAAAACTTGTGCTATAAGGTCAAGCAAAATTAGTTCCTGCCTGGATTCTGTAATGAGGTAACAAGTATAGCAAGGAGCTGTACTTGATCCAGAAAATATCTTCGACCCCAGGGTTTACAAATCTCAGATTCATGTTCTAGTGGTTGAACTAGATGATATTTAAGGAATCTTCCAGACCCAGGCTGGTCTATGGTTCTATGATTTGCACTGCCATCAGTATAGTTAAATTTTTTAACCCAATTAGCCATGCCCTATCTTCCCATTTTTATTTAAACTTCAGCATGCTGCTGCATCACAGATCATGCCTTAGGTTTTTCTATTCCTTTCATGGAATTATGGTCTTGAAATATCACCTAAGTAATATTTATCTGTTTTATCAGCCTCACTAATGATTGTGTGTGGCTCCTTTGGAAACAACAGAGCTCTGTATTTTTTTCTTTATGCTTAATGTCTAAGTTGTAAATATTATCTGGTCTTAAATTGTGTGTTGGTTTTAGTAATTTTTTGGGTGTTGGAGTGTCTGCAGTAAATTATAGTTATTGTCAATCACAACTCTTCAGGGTATTACTGGAACTGGCCCTGGAGTATCTTCCAACATCAACAAAACCCATTTTATCTTGAGATGAAATATGTTTTTCTAACATATGTAAAGCATTCTGTATTCTTCAGACTATCTCTAAAAGATGATATACTGTGTCACTGATGAGTCAACAAAGAAGAAGGATGCTTTATGCTATAATTAATGGGCTACATAATAGAAACAGGAGACTGCTAACTTCTAAAACAGCCCACAGAGAGCTCCAAATAACAAACATCCTACTTGAGCAGAGATGATGATAGCTGAAAATGCATTAAGTAGACAGAGAAACAAAACCAAATGAAGGTGAGAACTCAGTCAAGCAGGCTGAAGTGGAGGAAACACTTTGTCAGGAGCATAGCCCATGACAGTGCTAATGCGTTTTGCATTAGTGTGATGCCTGTAAAATACTGACTCCTGGCATCAGAGTTAATGACAAAAATCTACAACAGTTTTACTGTATATACACATGCAGGAACGATAACATCATAAGAAAAATTCTTACCTGTTCACGTTTCCAGGTTTTTAAAATAACACTGTAGCATGTGAAAGAACTGGTAACAAATGGTAAGTGACAATTGTTACATAAATGTTTTATTGTTCTGAAGTTGAGTTTTGATGAACAGTTGATGAAACAAAAGAGATCAGACAGTACCAGAAACATACACCAAATCAAATTATTTTTAGAATGTTGTTCAGAGGATGAGATTAATCAGGCTAAACTTTTAGTAAGGGGATTACAAATATATGTATCAATATTAGGAGGATTTGTGGCTTCATTAGCAACTACAGAGGAAGAAGTACCTTCGTATGCTACTGACTAAAATGAAATACTTTCTGTGACTGGATGAGATTCATAAAATAAATTTCAGCCCTGGAGGGTTATACAGGGAACAGCGCCATGTGTCTAAAATCATTTGCCACTAGTCTTGTCACCTAGTCTGAGCCTGTGTTGTTGGCAGTCGGGACCCAGCCTATGCTGCAAGGTGAAGAGAAATGGTCTGAAGGCAGTACAGTAAAGGGGAGGGCTGTTGGCTGCTGAAACAACAGAAATCTGCTCCTCAGTGGAGCTGCTGTGTATGGACTGTACAGCCAGAACCCCTAGCAGTGGTGTAATCTGGCCTTGAACCCATTGCCCCTCTCTCTTTTCTGCGTGCCACAGAGTTGGTATGTTCATGCCAGTTTTGGGGGGTGGCAGGCCAGTGAGAACGTGGGCTGAGAAGCTGTCAGGGGCTCTTGCATCATGGCCTCCTGAGTTTGGAGCATTTTGAATAAGCTGGTGAGTTAGAAGAGTTTTGAAGCAATTACAGGCAGCACGAGAGTTGGGCCAATAACAAGGTTAGAGGAATACGAAAAGGGCTCTAAACTGTCCCCAGAACATTTGCAAATTTGCTGGTGGTTCCTTCTTTTTTACAGTAAGTAGAGTAAGGCAGAAGAGAATTAAAGGACTTCCAAGATGAGAGTAAGTCATGTGGGGAACAAGATTGAAAGCTCTGTCTTTCATCCCCCGGGTTATGCCTCTAAACTCCAAAAGCAGAGAGTATGAGAACTCATCTATGTAAAGAACTACAGGTGATGCCAGCTGAGCCACGTGTAATATCAGAATGGCTGACTCAGCACTTCAGTTGCATCTCATCAGACTTGAGTCTTGGCAGGAAGGTACCAAACTTACTGTGTTAAAATACTCGTATAGCTGCGAGGCTCACATCTTTTGGAGCGTAAGATTTTGGAGTCTCTAAAGGCATGTTTCTGCCAACACTTACAGAATATTATCACTTAGTGCTGGTATAGGTGTTTCATTTCAGCTTGAAATGATCTGCCTTTTATGTCCATAATTAGAGAGATTCTTGAATTGCCTCTTTTTGCACTGCTGAAGTAGGTTGAATTCTTGTTAGACTGTGATAAAGATGCATATCATAACCTTCTATGAACTGTGATTTTATGTCTGTATGAAAAGCAATATAAGTATTCCATCTTCCATTCTTCCCATTTGAAATGCATTAGCCTTATTTTTGTCCTCCGCCTGTTTCCTCCCTCCAGCTCCTCAGGTTTTTCATTTTCCTGTTTGGATATCCACCAAGGTGCCTACCAAGTTTTTAGATATGTAGCTCAATAGTTGGGTGCTTCAGTTTGCCTGTTTTGCCAAAGATTGAACCCCTTCATTTTTATTTCTATATTTATTTACTTTAGGAATCGGCTTTCAATATTTTATACTTTGTATTTGAGATAAGGAGGGTGTATTCATGTGGTTTGGGTGAGGAAGTATATCACACTGGGACAGGACAGAATAATTCCTCAGGGTTTTGGGTTTCAGCAGAAGAGTTCTTGGGCTCCTCATGTGATAAAAGAATGAACCAGCGTAGCATTGATGTCTGTAATCTCTTACCTAAAGGGAGACATGAGAAATATTTTCCTTTCTCAGGTACAATGAGATCACTGCTGTTCTCCCTCGCATGTTTGATCTCTGTACTGAACAATACGTCAGTCCTAAGTATGGAATAAAAATTACTGTTACCTGAATTATTTGCTTACCACTAATCTTAAATCTCCAGCAGTATCCTGGTGCTGTTGCTTTTGGTGGGGGACTGAAATGGAGGGAGAAAACAAGCAGTAAATACAATTTTGAGGAGAGGATACAGTGTATACTGCTCTTAAACTTTGCTAGAAGCACATGAAAGTTTTTTTAATAGTTCTTTTCCTTAGGTTTTACTGGGAAGTTGTGTGGTTGGAAATGAGAAAGCAGGGTGATTCATGAGACTGCAAGTGGGAGAACTGGCTGAGGGTCAGAGGCTTTAATACCTGCCTGGGGGGTTAGTTTATTCCCATTAATAGGAATAGATAAGATAGATCTTGCAAAATCATGAAATGAAAAGTAATTTTAAATTAATGTCCCTGAACGAGCTACTACTATTTGTACATATCTTCTGTTGATGGTTTAGATACAGAAAGAGAAACTAATAAGTTTTTATTAAAGTTTTTTATTTGATCATTATACAACAGAAACCATGAACAAAGGAACTGCTGCAAAATTGTACGTTTGTTTCCTCTTGCTTTCGGTACTTAGAATATACAGTTTTTCTTCAGTCTGGGTTAGTCTTGGGTGAACTAAATGCAGGTCTACTTAGGATTTAGTAACTAGCCTATGCATTTGCATTCAAAAATCTTGCTGCTGGAAAGCATCCTAACCTGTTCAAATTATGTATGCTTTAGGTTGAAATCACAGCTTAACTATGTCTTTTCTTCTGTGGATTACAGTTTATAGTGATTAGTTTATTTGAGATTGTTAGAGAGAGATCACAACGTTGTCAGGGTGCAGAAGAGCCATATTTTTAACTCTGAAACACTTCATGTAAGCCAACAGTATGAATGAGCAGCCATATGTCCCTAAGGGCAAATGCAAGCATTCCTGAAATGAGATACAAAGAAACAAAAGTAAGAATGTGATCTTGGGACTTTACCGCTCTCTTCTGTAATTGTAGTATATCAAGACACAGTGTTTATGTGTCCTATCATGGGTTTCCATTTCTTATGGTTTGTTTTGTTTCAGCCTCTTGGAGCCAGTGACTATCTGGAAATATCAAAGCATTTTGACACAGTGTTTGTTCGTGACATACCACTTCTTACGATATCAAAAAGGACACAAGCTCGTCGTTTCATTACTCTTATTGATACCTTTTATGAGCATAAGGTGAGAACCAAGCTTTTCCTATATATGTATAGGAATAACACTGGGGGTCCTCAAACTGGACTGTTACAATTGGTTTGAAGTAAGGCTTTCTGTAATAAGAGTTTGGAAAACATAGGCGGAATGAACTAGCACTGCAAAGAAGCATCGTTCCAGCTTCACCAAAAAAAAAAAAAAAAGGCCCCATTGCAATAAAGGCAAATAAAGCAGGGTGGGGTTTTTTGTTTTCTGCGAATATTAAGCATGAATACAAGCCTGTGCTCATTTGCCTTTCTTTCCTAACTTGGGAAAACAACAGAAGCCATATCATTTTAATAATCAAAGACTGTGCTGCCAACTGTGCTGGAGTCAGTTTAAGTTTTTTAGATTTTAATCTGTGTGGGCAGTTGGTCAGGAATCAGTGCCTTCCTGATCAGCACAGTTACAGTGTAAAGGAAACAGTTACTGTAGGCTTTACACTAGGTTGCAGAATTGCTCATGGAATAGTAATGATAAATGCAGAACTTTACGTGGATTTACAGAGGTTGCAATTAAGGAAATAAAATCAGCACAACTAGAACAAAGGGAAGGTCCTGTTTAAGGTGATATTTTAAAAAATAATACAAGATATTAAACCCTATTTCATGCATTCGTATATTTGCACACACTTAAATATTTATGTGGTCAGGAAATATTGATTGAGGTTGTTTTTTTCAAGAATGTTCTGGCATTGGTTGCTGATCAGAAAGGCCCCAGTTCAGCAAGGTATTGAACTCAGTGTATGGGTAGTCTCATTCAAATCAGCCAGATTCTTTATGCTTTATGATTTGGAAATGGACAGTTTCTAAGAGAATATGCTAGTATTAAACTAATGTTTAATTAGTTAATTAACCTTCTGTGAAATTTGGAATTTAAACATTCTTTAAATGGAAATACATGTGCAGTGCACTTATCTACTGAGAGGAATCTAACTGTGGTGAAAAGAAGGCATTGGTTACTACGTAGCTTTTATTTTAGAAAATAAACTTTATGATGAACTCATTGCCTATAGCAGATATTCTGAGTATTTAATAGAATAGTTGTTTGTTCTCTGAGTAAAAGTTACATGAATTGTTACTGAGAAAAAGATCCTGTAAGTTTAATATTCCAAATTACTGAGTCAGGTAAATTTGTAACAGCAGTGCTAATAAGAGAAAGGAAAAATACCTGGGAAAAAACACCAAGGTCTTATTTCTAGAATGCTTTCCACAGATCATGTATTTTATCCCTTTTCTGTAAACCCCAAGTGTTGATATTGTTGCCTGTTTTCCTCCTCTCAGGTGCGCATTATCTGTTCTGCAGCGACTCCTCTCGATAGCTTGTTCCTGGTGGAACACGGCAGTGGTGAGCAAGAGGACAACAGAGTGTTGATGGATGATTTGGACTTGAGCCAGGTACATGATATTCACATCATCTCCCTTTTATAACAAAATTTGGTTTCATAATAATTTCATAATTACAGCAGCATTTTAGGAGGAGAAATCAAGAAAACATTTAATGGGTGATTTGCTGTTTTTTCTGTAGTGTATCTGTTGCTCTGATAATTACATGTTGTGCTATTTATTCATAGTCAAAGAAAATGTCACAGTATACAGAACCATTTTGTGTAAGTTTTAGGGTCATTTTGAATGTTAATCATTGTATCTGTTCAGTCGTGTATGAAAATACTGATTTAAGTTTAGCTCCTACATTTAAAATACAGAAATAAAAGGTGGTTTGTTCTACCTCTTCCTAGACTATCTAAAACAGCCTTACAAGTCCTCACAGACATTACTAATTTGTATGTTGGTTATTCTGTGTTTATTTTTCCCTAGAGCCTAGCTGTTGTTAATGAATTATTAAATAATTTGTTTAAATCAGTATGCAGTTAGTCAACAAAAAAGGGAAAATAGATGGTTAACATGTCATCATGTTGTTTTAAAACCCAATTATTCTTTTTGCTATGTTCCTTCAGAGGGTTACCTAGCTAAAATAGATGCTTTTCTTTAATTTTGAACATTAATTTTAATTTTTTGGTGCCATGCTGCTGTCTTAGCTCTGTTTTGTCAAAGCCTGTAAAGCACAGAGCCTTAGGAGTTACACAGGATGCACTTTGGTACTGCCATGTCTCTCACAGTTCTATGGTTCTGGTTTTGTGTATTTATGTAGGATTCTGCCAAAGGACTCTCCATGTTTACAGGAGAAGAGGAAGTCTTTGCCTTTCAGCGTACTCTCTCACGGCTTACAGAGATGCAAACTGAACAGTACTGGAAAGATGGGGACAGAAGCAAAAAAACATAATTAAAAGTTAAATGAAATTACCAAGAAGTAAAATTACAGCACTGGAAAGGTTTTTAGCACAACTGAAATAATAATTGCACTTTATCACCTGGACCATGTTTTCTTTCATCAGTTGCCTTTTGAGTTTAAGACACAAGGACTTGGCTATTTTTCTGTACCACCAGTGTGTGGACATGTGAAATTTGGCCTTCGTTTGCTCTTCTTCAAGCCTGGCTGGATAGCCAGGCCCAGAGAGTGATGGTGAATGGAGTTACATCCACCTGGTGGCTGGTCACCAGTGGGGTTTCTCAGGGCTCAGTATTGGGACCAGCACTGCTTAATATCTTTATCCGTGACACAGAAAAAGGGATTGAGTGCACCCTCAGTAAATTCACAGAGGATGCCAGTTTGGGTGGGAGTGTTGATCTGCTGGAGGTGGGAAGGCTCTGCAGAGCAATCAGGACAGGACAGGCTGGATCAGTGAGCCAAGGCCAGTTGTATGAGATTCAATAAGGCCAAGTGCAGGGTCCTGCCCGTGGCTCCCAACAAGTCCCTGCAGTGCTACTGACTGAGGGAAGAGTGGCTGGAAAGCTCACTAGTGGAAAAGGGCCTGGGGGGATGCTGGTCAACAGTGGCTGAACATGAGCCAGCAGTGTGCCAGCAATGACATCCTGGCCTGTCTCAGGAATAGTGTGGCCAGCAGGACAAGGGCAGCGATTGTCCCCCTGTACTGGGTACTGGTGAGGCTGCTCCTCAAATCCTGTGTTCTGTTCTGGGCCCCTCACTACGGGAAGGTCATTGAGGTGCTGGAGTGAGTCTAAAGAGCAACAAGGCTGGTGAAAGGTCTGGAGCACAAGTCATGTGAGGAGTGGCTGAGGGAGCTGCAGGTGTTTAGCCTGGAGAAAAGGAAGCTCAGGGGAGACCTCATCACTCTGTGAACTATCTGAAAGGAGGTTGTAGCCAGGTGGGGGTGGGTCTCTTCTCCCAGGCAGCTGGCAACAGGACGAGAGGACAGAGCCTCAAGCAGCACCAGGGGAGGTTCAGGTTGGACATCATGAGCAGTTCCTTCACTGAAAGCGTTGTCCAGCATTGGAACAGGCTGCCCAGGGAGGTGGTGGAGTCACTTGCTAGAATCCTGGAACTCCTCTGTAGTGTGTTATGTTTTGGGATTTTTTTCTGAGTCTAGCTAAGTACTGACTTTCAAGCTCTAGGAGTGTTTTGTAATCAGGCTGTTGCTCAGTCTGGCTCATTGAAGACTAATGGTTTGAACCAAGAGAGAACCCTGAGGAGGAGCTTGAAGGTACTTGAAACTGCACAGGATTAAGATCTAAGTAATTGATGGGAAGAGAGACTATGATAAGGCAGGGTATGCTGTAACATAAGTGCCAGTTAGTACTCTTTCTAAATTTTGTGGTTCTTGCAAGCCTGGATATACTGCCTCTACACCAGTGACATATCTGTACCCTGAATTTCCTCAGGCTTCATCCATACCAAACCTTCCACTGCTGCTAACACACCTGCCCTGACCTGGGGAGAGTAGGACACAGTACTACTTGAAGCAATTCATCATATTACAAATAGGAATGTGTTTTATGGGAAAGATGGGATAGTAACTGATACCTCAAGACACATCACCACCTATCCGCGTGTTTGTAGTTGGAAACTTTGTATTTTAGTTAAAAATGCAGTGGTGTCACTCTTGATTTCGGTCTCACTGAGACAAAATATGGCACTGTGTGGATTCACTTACAGTGTATTTTTTGGAAAAAACATGTAGATGGACTGAAAAGATTGCCCTCATTTCTTAGGAAGGAGATATGTAACACACTGCCCCAAAAGCTGAGGCGTTTTCTTGGATTTTGCAACATGATCTTTTTCAGTTACCAAACATATTTTCACTGCCTTTGTTAAGCCTGATCAAATTGTTTCAGTTGTAGCCCCCACCAGAATTACAGAAAGCTTTTAAAAGGGCCTTCTGGGAGGGCTGGAGAGGTCCTGTGCACTTGCCTGTCTTATGGAGCCACATACTCAAGTCTGGTTTTCTGTTCTGTTCCCCTCTGTTGGTCCTGGAAGTTACTTATGCTGGCTATACCTGTTCTTCAAATAATGTTTAAAGCCTATATTTATAGTTTGCAACTCATGCAAGTATGTTATTATTCCCACAAGAGTGACTACCACGGAGAATTTTAATGCATATTTATGAAAACTTTATGAAAGAGAATATATTGCATATACTTAAAAATATACAAATAATTGATGTATGTTTTCAGAGATTTGGATTAGGTTTCTCAACAGAGGGACTATTGAGATTCATGCATGTGTGTCTGTATATACAAACACATATGTATATTTAATTTATACATATATATATATAAATCTAGATAAAGCTAATATATATAATTTAAGTGTGTGTGCTTCTATATTTATACATGGCAGTCTATACTTATCAGCCTGTGACTGTGCTGATAACTTGCCTGAAGCCTCAGCCTTGACTTTTTTCCAGTAGCATTCAAATGGCTCCTGCCTTCTCTAAAACTGAATGTGTTGTGGGAAAGTGGAAGATGGTGGTAGATAACCTAAAGCACTTTTCATCTGGATATTTATTTATATTCTTTTAAAAACTGTTTACATGTTTAGCTTGTATGTCCTCCTCTGTCATGTGGTGCAGGGGAAGTGCGTAATCTTGCAGAACACAGGTGAGATGTTTGGGATGTGTGAGAGGAGAGGTCCTGGCAGGTTCTGCATTCCCAGAGAGACTGTTTTGGGAGAGGGAGGTGAAGTATTTCTCCACAGTCTGTGTGGGTGATGACTAACGTCCTTTAACCAGGGGAATCCCTGTTTGTGTTCAAACCTGTTGCTGCTTTTCCAATTGTTATTTGAGGCTTTTCTGCAATCTGAGCACACACCCCAAACTCAGGTGCCCCAGATTCTCGGAAGCTCCTAAATGCAGTGGGACTGATGTATCACTGAAAACCTCTGAGGATATAGATGAGCTCCATCAAACCACAGGAGGAAAGTTCCCAAAAGCCTCCAGAGCCAGTGCTGCTTCCAGAACAAGACAGCCTTCCAAAGGCGATGGATGGATGGATGGACGGATGGATGGATGGATGGATGGATGGCCAGAAGAACTTTTTGCTGTGACTGGTTTCTGATCTGAAAAGGAGAACTGTTAGTGGCTTTTTTTTGAGTAAAGATGTTCATGATGACACTACAGCTGGATAGCTATCACCTATTTTTCAGCAATCTAAACATGAAAAGAAACAACTGACCAGGTTTCAAACAGGGCTCAGCACAGTCACCAACCCTCTAACAAGGAAGAAGAACAGTGTCTCCATCAAGACCTGGCTAACAGGATGAAGATTCATGATTTTAATTTCTGCAGTTGCCTGGATCTCAATACATCTCGTGCCTCAGTTTCCCTGTTGATAAAATAGGAATGATGTTACTTCCTTATTTGCCAAATCTGGAGTGCTGCCAGGCTTCCTCATTAATATTCTAAGATGCTTGCTTAGAGTCTGGGAGGAAAATACTTCAGTAAAGTATGTAAATAGTGCAAAAAAAAAAATTAGCTACTCAAAGTGGATTAGTCTCCTTGTTTGGGTTACAGAATTAATGCCATCAACTAAACACCATGTGCCTCTTTGTAGTGATGGGTTTTTAAAATAATGCATCTATTTTAAGAGTCTATTTAAAGAAAAAAATATTTGGGTTTGTGATTAAAACTCTAGACCATTTGTGTAGATTTTCTTTTAGTTGTAACGACATTACAACCTTAGCTCCTATATTTGTGAAATACAATGGCTTTGCAAATGCTGTTGGGATTTTCCTTGTATACTGAACTTTTTTTAAAAAAATGTCATTTGAAATCTAATACATAACAAACTGAACACTCAAATCCTTCTGTCATTTGAGAATAACTTACGTTGTAAACAATAAATCCAGATTTTATAAACATTTCACTCATTCTACTTTTAGGTATGTGTTCTGGATAGGCAGACACTCGTTAATTAGAATCATAGAATGTTAAGGGGTTGGAAGGAACCTTGAAGATCATCTAGTGCCAACTCCTCCTGCCACAGGCAGGGGCTCTCCCACTAGACCAGGTTGCTCAAGGCCTTATTCAGCCTAGGTTTCAAAAGTCCCACCCAAGCTGTACAGGAACACTGCCAGGAATGGGGAATCCACAGCTCCTCTGGGCAACCTGTCCCAGTGCCTCATCACCTTCACAGTAAAAAAAATTTCTTCCTAATACCCATTCTAAACCCACCCTCCTTTAGTTTAAAGCCATTCCCCCTTGTCTTGTCACTACGTGCCCTTGTAGAAAGCCCCTCTCCAGCTCTCTTGCGGCACCCTTTCGGTCCTGGAAGGCTGCTGTAAGGTCTCCCTGGGCCTTCTCTTCTCCAGGCTGAAAAGCCCCCACTCACCCTCTCTCCAGAGGAGAGGTGCTCCAGCCCCTGATCATCACTACTTGGTGTGATGTTTTTTCTTAAATCTCTGTATTCAGGGGGCAAACCCAGACTGGCAGCACGGCCAGTGTCTGGGCACTTTGGCTGCCTGTACAAGCTGTAGCACCACAGGCCACTGCCCTACACATGGCTCAGCTTTTGGTGCATACATCCAGAGCTTGTCAGAAAGATCCTCCTCCAGAAGCAGTTTAGGATTGTCCACCTCAATTATTGCTGCCAGCAGCCCTAATTTTCACGTTTAGAACCCATTTTTTTCTATCTCTCTGACTCCTTTTCTCCAGCAACTTACTCTTACTGTTCAAGATCTGCTTTTGCTGTCAGCCAGTTAGTTCTGTGGTCAGTTGTTACAGGTTTTGTACAGCTTGGGAAATTGCCCTTGGGAAGCAGTTAGTTAACATGGAGGCAGGCAGGGACGTCCCCACATTGAAGGGGCTGAAGGGCTCCCCAGTGCAGGTGCTCTCAGGCAGCACCTCTGTGTTGAGAATGGGAGAGCAAGGCTGCAGCATGGATGGCACTTCTCCATGGATGTCAGTGGCAGACAGTCAGACAGTTCTTGCCGACAGATGGCCAGCAGTGTTTCACAGTTCAGGCTTGAGAAACCAGTGGTGTGAAATGTTTTAGGAGGGGTTAAGTTTTAGGGCTATTTCTATACCTTCTACTGGAAACACTCAATCTTCCCATTTCTTGAAGAGGGAGATTGTCATATAGAATATCAAGCTGTGGCCAACTTGTTCCGCTGTGTTGCTTGCAGTAGTGCAGTATCGAGTGTTGAGAGCATCCATCAGCCTGGGATACTTAATATTTTTCTTTTGTTCTGTAATCTCATTTCTGATGTAGGAGAAGGGGTTCATGTGTCTCAGCTTCCCCGAGACCTCTGGGCCTGGAGTTTCCTGCTGCTTGGCTTTGGGCCTCAGGAGCTCTGGCACATGTGAAATAACAGTGTGTGGGGCCTGGGGGTGCCTCCATGTCCCTGCAGAATGGGAGACATTTCTGACCCTTGGGATGGGGCACTGCCTGCTTTTGCCTTCCTGTCTACTGAGAGGGAGGACTTGCAGTGGCAGTCCCTAGAGCGAGAGCAGAGAGAGGACGGAGCAGATGGAGGATGCAGGCCACTTGCTCCCTTTCCAGCCTTCTGCATTCTGCATGTATTTGTAAAACAACTTTTGTTTTAAATTGAATTGAATTCTAAGAGAGCTATTAAAATACAGAAATGCTTCTCACTGACCTATTACTCTGCATTCATGTTGGTAAAATTTTGGATGTGCTTCTATAGTCCTCCCGCCAGTTCTTTGTCAGGGTGAAGGGTTTAGTTGGCTCTGTTAATCCACTCTCTAGCTGAAATTGTTCATTTAAATCGTTATAAAAATCCACTCTTCCAATGCGAATCCTTTAGTCCCAGATTCGAGTACTGCTGCCAGTGCAAAGACTTCACATTCTCTGAGTGCAATCCACACTGTGTCAGTCCAAAGCCAAATTGCAAACACTTATCCACAATTCCCCTTACTCAGCTGTAAGCTAATTTTTTTTTAGCAGGCAACAATAGTCAAAAAAGTATAGGGAAAGATTATTAGAAGAGCTTAAGAAATGGTTAATTGACTCCTTCACAATCTGTGGTATAATTCTACCGCATTCTCTTATTGCAAGAAGCAAAACCTTTAGTTCTGTTACTTAATATATTTTTAGCACGTGATTCTTTGGTGTCACAGTAATTAAGTGCAATCACAGCCACTGAAAGATGAAGCATGAAAAGATTTGAGTGATATTTTTAAGCTGAAGTCAACTGAACCAGGAAAAGTAAGCTCACTGACATGATGAAGAAAGCCGCCTTTGAGTCCTCTGGTCTTTTACAATTTGCAAAGCCAAACACACCTGTGTGCCTTCTGCCTACAGCGATGGATAATGTTCAGGTCATAACACGACACGTTGGGAGGTGAAGTTTGTTCCTGCAGGCTTGTTAAGAGCATCGCTCACATCAGGTCTTTCTTGTAGCTGAGGTATGATGTGCCCAACAATGCTCCCCTGTTAATCGAGGTTCAAGTGTGCTGCAAACACCTAACAAAGTTCCTTGGTGGGCAGGGGGAGTGAAGTTCGCTGAAAACGCAGGCAGAGGACCCGTATCGTCCAGTTGCAGTTCATACCTCCCAAAAAGTAACATTTCAGAGGCCAGGGGAGAGAGAGGAGCAATTACTGTCCAGCAAAATTACAATCTGAATGGGCTGCCATTTTCAGTGCTTCGCTGGGATGGCCATGATTGCTATAGAAACTTCTGAGAGTGAGACAGAGAGGTTTTCCAGCACTGGAAATTGCGAATGGAGAAGGTTAGACTGGGTGCAAAGCCCATTCAGTCAAACAGCTGCCAATTGAGCCTCTTTGCCAAGTGGATTGTAGGAAATGCTGATTAAAATGTCCACGGAATGCACCAGGAAAATTAGATTTCAGTCACAGCCGCCTGGCCAGTTTCAGTGGGCAGACGGCTCCAGTGTGTGGTGCACCTGGGCTTGTTCTCCCGCCGTGGCCTCTCCCACAGCCGCTTGCCCCCAGCTCACCGGTACCTCAGTGAATAGTCTAAGGACACAGGTGAGATGAAGTTTGTGGGGATAGATGGTAACAACTGGTCTAATAAAGGATAACTGGGTGGGGGACAAAAAAAAGCCAGGCATCATTCCAGGTGAGGGAGAAGTGTCCCTCCCGACTCCAGCTTTGCCATTTCTCCCAGGGCACAAGCCCAGATGTGGGCTGCTGCCACATTCAGCTCCCTCTGACTGGGCTGGCACCCACATTTTGTCTCCCCCACCCTAACTCGCTGTGTTGGCATATAAACAGGACTGCTGTCTTCGAACATTGACTGAAAACCTCTTCTCCTCCCAACAGCCTGTGATGGACAGATGAAACTGTCCCTTTGGGGCAGAAGACCTGGCAGTACACCCAAAAGCCTGCCACAAACCGGGAGGCAGGGCTAAGCCTGTGGGAGGTTGTCATAGTTCCGATTTTAGCAAGGAATTTTTCTTTCCCTTCCCCCTGCCGTGTGTGCTCTGTGTATAGGCCATCAGGTACCTATCAGGTGAACAAAAGAATTGGCTGGTCCACTAATGGCCGAGAGAACAGTCTCCTAGGAAACAGGCAGATGAAGGATCTAAAGTCTACTTTTTTTCCTCCTCTCCGGGGCAATGGGGGAGGAGGAATTTTGGTGGACTGGGAGTGTGGCTGGCACGCAGGCTGGGAGGAGAGGCTGGTGTGCCGGTGGGCTCAGGACCTTCTGCGAGCTGCAGATGCTGTTTTTTTTTCTCCTGTCGGAGGGGAGTTTGCTGCTGCTCTCTGCTCAGTTGTTGCTGGCTGCAGGCCCTGCTTAAAGCGAACTCTAACCAGCTCAAGATCATGAGTTTTATTCCATTGGGAGAACTTTCTGTTTGATTGCTGGTTTTTTCCCTTCTTTTCCCTTCCCCCCCACCCCCACTACTCCCTCTCTCCTGTCCCAGTGTGGGAAGGGAAGGGGAACCGAGGGGTGTTTTTGTTGTTGTTTTTGTTGTTGTTGTTGTTTTTTTACTGGACATTACGAGTTCTGCACCTCCAGTGATCCAACAGCACCACCTGGTGAATGGTACAGGACATTACAAGTTTTGCATCTCCAGTGATACGATGGCGCCCCCTGCTGACTGTGGTTGGAATTGCACCAAGGGGCGCAAACATTGAACCCTTTACTCTTCCTTTTGCTGATTTATCGGTTTGTTCCTGAAGGGGATTATTGGTGGGTATAGGAGTATTGCTTGGTTGTTTTATTTGGGGTTTTTTCCATGTTTCTGTTAATACACACATACCTTTTAATAAAGGGCTGTTATTTTCCCTTTTCCATAATTTGTTTTCCTTCAATCGGAGCCTCTTAATTTTGGATTTATAATTGCTTAGAAAGAGAAGTTTCAGTCTTTTCTCCTAACTCATCCTCAGCAAAAGACCCTTGTCTCATTTAAACTGGGACAGAGGTGTTGGTGCTTCTTCTTCTTCTTCATCTCTCCAGCAGCTTAGACAAGCTCCTGAAATCCCATCCCATAGCCCATCAGTCCCCAGCTTTGGCTGCACACCCAGGTGCAGCTGCAACTCCAGTAGTGTTCCTCCTTAAGGGGCTCCTCTCACCTCCTTTCCCTATCCCCACTCCTCCATCCTTTCATCTCTGCTGGGGGAGGGGTTATTACCTTTTTGTGTTCATTGCTGACCTTGGTAAAACAGCTTCTCACCCTTCTGGCAGCAGACTGGCAGCAGTTATTTCAGTGCCTCGCTTCCTCACTGATCCCCTGAAGGACTCTTGGTATTATTAGGCTTTATCACCATCATTGTTTCATTTCCTCGTCTCTCCTGTCTCTCCTCAGCCTCCTTTGATTTAACTCCAGTCAGTCAGACAGCAGAGTCTCAGGCAGGTAAGCTCAGACACATATAATGCTGTGACACAGTAACACAGCCATTTCCCTTCTCCATAACTCAAGAGCAGTTGATGTGCCAGCTCGGGCAGCTTCCACTTAGGATAGCTGCTTTTCCAGTCGTGCTTGGCTTTGAGGCAAAACAATAAAATCAGTGGAATTTCCTGCCAACTCCTATTGGAATTTCCAAATATACTGGTTCTTCATAGGCTGTGCTTGGAAAAAAAATGTTTGCATTAAGGTACAAAAAATTATGTGGCCTGCATAAATAAAAGCAAAGAGATTTGTCTTGCAGCATAAGGGTGAATGATGTAACAAGTCACAGTTTATCAAATCCATGAAATGTTTGTTGTATGGAATTTTCTAATTTTTTTTTTCCAGAAAAAAAAAAAAAGCCCTTTTAGTAGTAAATACAACTGGTATTTTGGTCTGAGTGTGATTCTGTTCATTTAAAATCCCTCAATACAGAGTTCTTTAAAAGTCAGAGTGACTTCATCCTCTGCTCTCAGAGCACCTGAAGACAGTGCTCAAACATCAAGACATCTGCTCAAGCCAATGCCTGTCACTGCCTGCCCAGGCTTTTTATGTGCATTGGTTATTTGTTTTGCCAGGCTGGTGCAGTAGTGTGTAAACAACAATCTGGTGCAGTAGTGTGTATGTATATGTGTGCATATATATTATATGTACTCAAGGACCTATGAATGGATTTTGAGGTCCTTGTGGCCTGTAACTACTCCCATAGCCATGAGTTAAGGCTTGGTTAATGGATGCTAATCTGTCAATTCTTGAACAATTCAGGAAATTAGTTATTGACATAATGGAGAAATTATCTGAGAGTATCACAGCAACCCCTACTTGAGGACTCCTCTGTCTGCTAAGGCTGACCTTAATAATTAACAGCCTTACCCAGTGCCCCAGAGGTGCTTTATAAGACACGAGGCTGAAGGTTAAATAGCTTCTGTGCATCAGATGTGCTCATTACATCAGTAAGTCTATAATGGCTTTTCTGAAGCCACAGCAGCTTGTTAATTGATTGTTCTCATTTCACGGTCTTTCCAGGGGTCCCCTGTACCATTACAAAGCTGTGTCCTTGTCCTTGCCAGACTGCCTTTTCCTGTCCAGCCTGAGAACTAGTGTCCCCTCTCCGAACAGGGACTGCCTGCCATTCCTTTGCTTGACCTTGGTTGACTGTACAGTGCTCGGGTACCCTCCATTCCTCTTCCTCCAGCCCCAGTCCTCCACCTCAGCTCCTCCTTCCTTGAAACTCTCCGGCTCCCCAGTCAGCTGCCTCTGTTTTACCATCCCCATCCACAGTGTAGCATCCAGGCAGCCCTGCAGTTCTTCCCTGTCTGGTCCAGGGTTTATTTAACATAGTTTTACAAAACAAGGCAGCGATGATGAATCAAAGGCTAAGTGTCATAAATGGCTTGGTGTGGAAGACGAACAAGGTTTTGCAAGGAAAGCTCGATCAACTGGTAAAGTAGCAGCTCACCGGTCACAGCCAGCATGGCTTCATGAGGGGAAAGTCCTGCTTGCCAAACTTCTTTTCACAAGGTAACCCACCCAGCTGACCAAGGGAAGCCAGGTAATGTCATCTTTTTGGACTTGAGCAAAGCTTTCGAGGCTGTCTCTCACAGGAATCCTTCTGGGCAAAATGTCCAGCACACAGCTGGATAAACACATCATGGGGTGGGAGAGCAACTGGCACGTGGGTGGAGCACAGAGGGTGATAGTGAATGGGGTGACATCAGACTGGTGACCTGTCACTAGTGGGGTTCCACAGGGCTCCATCTTTAGGCCCTGTGCCCTTCAACATCCTCATAAATGACTTGGAAGCAGGACTGGAAGGGATAGTAAGCAAGTTTGTTGATGATACTAAATTGAGAGGAGCTGTTGATTCCCTGGAAGGAAGGGAGGCCCTGCAGAGAGACCTCGACAAATTAGAGGACTGGGCAATCATCAGACCATATGAAGTTCAACAAGGGAAAGTGCCAAATTCTACATCTGGGATGGGGCAACCCTGGATGTTCGTACAGACTGGGGAATGAGAGGCTGGAAAGCAGTGCCACAGAAAGGGACCCGGGGGTCCTGGTCGATGGCAAGTTGGCTGATGAGTCAACAGTGCCCTGGCAACCAGGAGGGCCAACCATGTCCTGGGGAGCATCAGGCAAAGCATCACCAACCAGTCGAGGCAAGTGATTTTCCTGCTCTGCTCTGCACTGGTGTGGCCTCACCTTGAATATTGTGCATAGCTTTGGGCACTACAAAATAAAAAAGTTAGAAAGTTGTTAGAGAGCATCCAAAGGAAGGCATCAAGGATGATGAAGGGCCTTGAGGGGAAACTGTATGAGGAGTGGCTGAGGTCACTTGGTCTGTTCAGCTTGGAGGAGATTGAGGGGAGACCTCACTGCAGTTACAACTTCCCTGTGACAGGAAGAGGAGAAGCAGGCACCGATCTCTGTGGTGACCAGTGACAGGACCCAAGGCAATGGCCTGAAGTTGTGTCAGGGGAGGTTTAGGCTGGATATTAGAAAAAGGTTCTTTACCTAGAGGGTGGTTGAGCACTGGAACAGGCTCCTCAGGGAAGTGGTCAGAGCACCAAGCTTTTCGTAGTTCAAGAAGCATTTGGACAATGCTTTCAGGCACATGATGTGATCCATGGGGCGGTCCTGTGAAGGGCTTAGGAGTTGGAATTGGATGATCCTTGTGGATCCCTTCCAACTCAGGGGATTCTATGATTTTATGATTATATGACCTGCTTCTCTGATCAACTGCTACAGCTGGAAAAAAAAAAATAGAAAAAGTTTCTGGGCTGAGAACACTTTTTCCAGCTCATTTTGAGCTGAAGCCACTGAGCCGTTAATGCCACAAGCTCCTGCCTATGTCCTGTGTGAGAAATGAGCTTCAAAATCTTAGCCCTTGGGTCAAAATCCTTCGATGTACTACTTGGGTAACTGGCTAGAGTGGAAGGTGGGTCCCTACAACAGAGGAATTGGGCTTCAGCACCTCCTGTCTTTTAAACAGAAAGATGATTGAATTTTTTGCTTGCGTATAACACAGTAAGCAGAGGGTAAAAGCAGGGGACAGTGAGTTTCAGAATAGCTTCCCATTTCTTGGCTTAAAGCAGACAGAAGCTCCCATCTTCCTATTACCTTTGCTTCCCAGCTTTCCCACAGTCATGCAAGGGAGATGCACAAAGCCCCCCGATATTGTGCCACAGGTCCTGGGGAGACTTTACTGTTCCACTTGGGCTGAGATGCTCCTGAGGAAGGGAGAGGCTAGACACGCTGTCATGATTTGTGGCTTCCTCTCCTCCCCTCTGGTGCATTTACCATCGGTGGCAACAGACAAGTTCAATGCTGTATTTTAAGTGACTTGAGGCACCACTGTTCCATAATCCAGGCAAAATGGAGAGGCCGGGTTAGGGCAGGATAAAAAGTAAAGTAGCACGAAAGGCTGACTCGTAAGGCAAAGCTAGTCACTAATCCTGTTTTGTAGGAATACTTTTGTACTTGGGTGCATCATAAGCCATCATCTGGCTCCACCATGTGTTGGGATTTCTCCTCTTGCCTCAGGGAAGAGAAAATTTTTCCTCACCCTCTCCTACACCAGTGTTCAAGCACTTGCACCACTCTCTCTTCAGCAGGGTGCTGTAGCTGTGCCAAGCAGACAATTTCTTATCAACCACGCTCATTGTTTCTGCAATTTGGTGGCCACTTCCAGTCAAAATGCATTCCCTCATTCTTTGCTTGTCTCCTCCAAGGCACGCACACGCTGGCCTCTCCAGTGGTAAAAAATTAGCAGGCTGGGGCTATAAAGTCCTAGAGCATCCACACCTTCTCCGGGCAACCTGTCCCAGCGCCGCGTATCTTTCCTATTCCACCACTGCTTTGGAAAGCTCTCGGTGTTACCCCCGCGGCCTGCAAGGCGGGCAGGGCCCACAAGATGGCGGGCGCGCACCGCGGCCGGGCCTGCAGGGCCCGCTCCGGAAAGAAGGCGGTGAAACAACGCCCCAGACTTGTCACACGTCGGGCTATTAACAAAGTCAAAAAAATACACCGTGCTAGCCTGGGCTCAGATTCCTTTCAGAGAGTTTAGCGTAGAGAAGAGAGGACTGAGAGGGGACCTCATTAATGTGTATGTCAAAGGCAGGTGCCAAGAGGACGGTGCCGGACGCTCTTCAGCGATGCCCAGGGACAGGACGAGGAGCAGTGTCCATAAACTAAAACACAGGAAGTTTCATCTCAACATGAGGAAGAACTCCTTTACACTGAAGGTGGCGGAGCACTGGAACAGGCTGCCCAGGGAGGTTGTGGAGTCTCCCTTTCTGGAGGCATTCAAAACCCACCTGGATGAGTCCCTGTGTCACCTGCTCCAGGGTTCGATGATGTCCAGGGTCTGTTCCAACCCTATTCTGTGATATACTATTAAAAAAAAAAAAAGAAGGAGACTCCAAACACTCTGCTCCTGGCATGGGATACAGCACTCTGGGGACACCTGTGTCCCGTGTTAGGCAGGGCGGACACAAAAACAGGGGGGAGAGGGATCTTGAGGGGCTGCGGGGAGAAGAGCCTCATGCAGGACAGGGATGACCTAACCCTCACCATGCCACAGCTTTATGTTTTTAATACACAACCAGTCAATTGGTTTTGGGAAGTGAGGGCATCCTTGAAATGGGACTGCTTTATATACAGCTAAATACAATATTTCATGTTGCTTGATCCTTCCCCTCATGGCCAGATGCTGCCTTGCAATGGCTCAAGCTGAATCCATCTGGCCACAGCACTACACAGGATCCCTTGGTGCAGAGCACAGGGCACATGTGCTCCTGAGCGAAGCCACAGGCAGGCCACCAAACGCCTTTGAAAAGCCCAGGGCTTCTGCATGGCTACCTTGAGACTTCTCAGGCAGGCATATCAATGCCTGGATCCTTGTCTCCAACCCATCCTTCTTAGCACACTTTGGCATCATGTTGCCTGGGTGATGGAAGGCTGTCTCCACCTTGGGGTGCAGAAGTTCTTGGTGGGGGTCATTGCTGCCTGTCCATGTGGGAACTTTTTGGCAAGTGGAGCTGGTAGCGCCATCCATGCCTGGGATTTTCAGCAATTCTGGGATGCTCATTGCACATACAAGTGGTCTTATGAGAAAAGGAGACTCACCCAATTCAGGCACAGCTGTGAATTCCCCACATTTAAGGGCAGCTGTGTTGACAAGTTGCTCTCCGTATTTTAGTGAAGGAATCTTCTTAATGACGTCTTCTTCATCTGCTGGGATCCTGACACTGTTCTCAAAAAATCATGACAGAGCACTGGTAGGGTTTGACTCAAAGAAAA